TAGCTAGTATCTTCTACACGTGAATTTCTTCCCAATTTCTTTGGTAGAAAATTTATTAATTTTTATCAATTTTCACAAGAATTAATGTTCGACCGACCAAGTCAATCACTCGTAAAAAAAATCATTTTTTCGTTTGATATTCAGTCAAAAAGTCAAATTCTATACATGGTTGGAGGAAAAAAATTAAATTAATTCATGGTTGAATAGTATATAAGAAAGCGATCACTATAAATTGGTTAAAAGAAATTAAATTTTATTTTTGAATTTAATTGTGAGAAGGAAACATTTGTGTTGTCGTTTTCGTTAAACCCTAATTTTGAATTCCTTTTAAAAACGTCCATTTGGCAGACTTTTGATAATAAATATATAAATAAAATAAATAAATAAATAAAAAAAGGTTTGGGGGAGGACCGGGTGAGAGCGGCGGACCCCGGTGGCGCAATTACCGGCTCATCCATTGGACCATTTAGTTTATCGGTTTATTTTATTAAAAACAATTATAGTTATTTCCGTAGCGAAATGTCAGTACATATCCGTGATTCCGAATTCCGTTTGCCTCGTTCCACACTCCACCACCTTCATAGTATGGGCGTGACGTAAACGCTCCAATCGACATGTAGTCGTGAGATTCAGACGTAATTTTGGATGTGGAGCCGGCAAGAGGTAGCGACATGTCGGCTGAGGATGGAATTGAAGCTATGGAAGTGATATCTTATGTTCTTCTTTTTAAAAAATTTATCATTTTCTATGCTTTTTATTTACATGATGTGGAAATCATTTGGGTTTTCTTTTTTATTCTTTTTTGGAAAAGTCGTGTGAAATTATTAATAAACTTTTTTTTTAAAGTAGGCGGATTTTTTTTGACCGTAGGATTAGGAGATCGGAAAAAGCAAGAAAAAAAGAAAAAAGAATTTTAAATTAATTTAAATAAATGCCAAAAAATTCCAAGACGGGGAGGAGACAATTAAATGTTTACTCACGAAGTTTCCAGCTGGCTTCTGGAATTCTTATTTTTGGAAATTAATTAATATACTAAATATAAAATTCCTGAAATTTTCAAAAATATCCCAACGCTCCTTATCATACAGAGAGACGGAGGAAATTGACAGCCACGTCACATGGGTAGTTTAGTCAAATCACTCCAATTAATTTTTCGTATAATAATAAATAATAAATTTAAATATAAGGGAAATGGTAAAAAGTGGGGCCTAATAAAATAACTAATTAAAAAAAGATGGTGGGAGGGCGGTCCTTCCGTGATGCCGTACTGTCAAAACGTACAAGAGGGAAGGTACAACCAAACCAAACCGAACCGAACCGGAGATGAGACCCCACTCAACCCGAACTCATATTTGCACGCGAACTCTTTGTACTCTTGTTTGGCAACAGTGTTAGATAAAGCCTTTATGTGGACAGCTATGGTTTCCATTCAATTGCCCTTACTCATCTCTCTCCTTAATCTCATTTAAGCCAATTTAATGTTATGCATAACTATCACCAAATTTTGTTGCTTAACATTAAATTAATTTAGGTCTGGAATGATTATGAGTTTATAATCAAGTAATATGAACTCCACTGGTGTGAGGCTTTTTGGGAAGCCTGAAATAAAACCATGAAAGCTTATGTTTAAAATAGACAATATCATATCATTGTAAAGAGTCGTGTTCATCTGACAGAAGCAATTTGTTTTATTGTTCTCCTCCAGGGGCGATACTCGATCGATTTGAAAGTAAATGGCCTTATAAGAAATGAAAAGGCAAAATTGAGAGGGGAATATGTATAAATATGAATGAAAGTGAAAGTGTGGAAATTTCAAATTTCAACCCCAAAAAGCTCCACGTCATCGCACTCCATTTATTATCCCTCCACTACCCTCACCTTTATTTCTCTCAATTTTTTTCATCCACATCTTTCCCCTCTCCACTATTCTAAATAAATTATTTTATTTTATTTTCATCTCTACAATTTCAAAATATATAAATAATTAAAATTCATTGTGACAAAAGATTACGCTTTAATTAAATCTTAGATTAACCAAATCCAAGATTTATGTCGTGGATATAAAGCAAAGGAGCTTTGTGAAAATAAAATTAAAAAAGATTCCCTTTAATTAAGTAAATAAAACAAAGCATCAGTAAGTGGAATGACGTTAATACCCATTAAGAAATCGTCTAATCCAAGCTTATTACATAATTGGACGGCCCCTTTTTAGACTTTAAAAATAACCCATTTAAGGGCATTTTTGTATTTTTGTATTTTTATTTTTTTATTTAAGACTATCGTTGTAAATAAATAAATAAATAAATAATTTTCATAATCAAAATAACATAAATTATTCCATATCTAAAGCACCGCCCATTGAAAATTTTACCGTGGGGGTATATTTTCAGTTTGTTCTCGAGGAGTGGGCGAATATATTATTATAAATTGTGAAGATATAATAAAGTTCAAAATCTTAGGTTATAATAAAAAAAATATATCTATATATATGGACGTTGAATTGAGTGGGAATTTTGATCCGTATACCTTATCGTAAAAGTGCATTAAAGGCGGAACTTTATAAAAAAAAAATTATTTATATATTATATAGTTGAAAATATTACAAAATAAATACTTTAGGTTATAAGCTTATAAAAACCACCATTTTATTTTTGTTGGTAATTATTAGAATGAGAATTTTCAAATTTTGAAAGGGTATTTCTTCTAGAAACTGAATAGATTTCAAATATTTTTAATTTCAATATATTTCTTACCAATTTGTTGAAAATGAAACATTTCTACCGTTTTAAATTACATTAAAATAATTTAAGGTTCATAAAAAAAAAAAAAAAAATAATTATTATTGGTCGGCTAACTCTCTTTGTCTTGTTCTCCAACATGACTGTTTTTCTTGGTAGGCCATCTTAGTCTATGTTTTTGGTATTAACATTTTATATTGTATTTAATAAGACTCTTTCATTTTTAGGACACTTGTACGGATTAGGTATGAAAAAAATAATCATATGAATATTATCAAAACTTTATACTAATTTTATATTGACCTATATTTAATTTACTTATTAATGTGAGAGTTGTCACATCTAACGGTGCCGTTTGGGAAGCTGATGCAGCAAGTTCGCCGTAGGTTACATGGCACTGCCATTGACCATTCCCATTTATCTCAATTTTTATTACTTTTGTGGCTCATTTTTTTCCATTGACTATATGCATTTATTGAATTTTCTCCACCCTTCTTTTGGTTTTAATATATAGAATCTAGAGTCCACGAGAAGTGAGATTCCATGTCGGTTGAAGTAGAGAATACATCATTCTTAAGAGCATGAAAATTTCTCCCTAACAGACGTGTTTTAAAATTTTGAGGAGAAGCTCGGAAGGAAAAGTCCAAAAAAGACAATTTGAGGAAAAACCCAATAACGAAAACGAACAATATCTGCTAGTAGTGGGTTTTGACTATTAATGGTAATTAGACCTTGAGCTCGAACTCAATAGACCCACGAGTGATCATGTCCAGAGCCACTTAACTTATATAATTTTTTTTACTAATGTAGGTGTTATATATTAATTTTTTTCGTTGACTATATGTGGATTGAGTGAATTCATTTGGGTCGGATTTGTACATCAATAAATAGATTGTTAAAATGATCATATTTGACACTCGACAAATATAATATACGAAATTCTAGTTAAGTAGTGAGATGAAGAAAATAGAGAGACCCTTTAAGTATTTAATGAAATATCTAACTCGAATGACCTGTAAACGTATACATCATTGATGGCATATTGAATGAATGGCAACAAAGTTTGTTCTCCAATTATCTTGGTCTCACAAAGGCCACATGGACGCTTAAATGTTGAATATTTTAGTCTCTGGTAAGTCTGATTTTTTTATTTTACAATGACTAATAATTAAAATATTAAGATTCAAACCTTTGACCTTTTGATAAATAAAATACAATTTATTTCAATTATATAGTTTTAAAAAGTGGAAAGTCAAACCTAAGTTGTGTTTGGTGATGGGTCAAGATGTTGACTTGAATGTGAGAGGCAAGGCTTGTTGTTTTTATTTTCAAATTCAAGACTTTATAATTTATTAAAGGGTTTATTTTGACTAAAATCATCCCCACACGTATTTGGTATAGCGTTGAATAGTGGGTTCTAGATGGTTTTATTTTTAAAATATTATTATTTTTTTGTCAATTAAAAAACTTTTTTAAAAATTAAGAATTTATAAACAATTAAAAATGCATGATATTCATGGTTGGTATTTAAATTAATTCAAGAACTTCGATGAAAAAAATATATATTAAAAATATTGATAAATATAATAATGCGAATTTAGAGTTTTAATTAATATATTTAGTATGTTAATTAAAATTAATTTGTTAAGTTTTTTTGGTTTGATTAATTTTTAATTACTCATAATCTTGATCTTATTTTCTTATATATATAAAAAAAAAAAAATCAAAATTTAGAATTTTATTGGGATATTTTTGTCCATTAAGCTCTACTCGAATATTTATAGTATCAAAATTTTATTTAATATTTAAATTTAGTCACGTAAACAGCCCATGCGATATTTAAGTGGGCCAACTTTGTCAGCCCATTAAGCTAAGTTGGATCCATGGGCCGAACACCAACACGGCCCAACACATAATAACACTTCATTATTATTATTATTAATCATGGGAAATGTGATACTTCTATAATATATAAATATGTTTTTTCGTTTGAATAAGGACCGTCCGTTTAAGAAGGAAAAGTGAAACCAACGGTAGAGATTGATTTTGTAGATTCGAAGAAAATAATGAAAGGCAATATGAACAGAAATGTATTTTGAAAGTGGGGCCCACGATGGTGGGCGGGATTTTAATCACGACATCCCATCTATTCCCATTAGTTTTAAATATTTTTTTAAAATTAAAAAAAAAAAAAAAAAAAACGAAAATTGGAATAAATGAGTAATAACATATCAATCACGTCTATGATCTGTCAATTATTCGTTCCTCCTCGAAGCTTCGCATATCACGAGGTACTCGTTCTGCTATCTGCCGCGGGAGCCATTTCTCCTTCCTTCTTCTCCGTTTCTGTTACTCTGATCGCGAGCTCCACCCGATTTCATCGTTTGATTTGGGGATTTGTACAGTAGGATTCGATTCAAATGTCTGCGGCTACTGCACCCTTGAACAAAATTGAGCGAGCCCACCAGATGTACCGTGAGGGGCTCTATGTCGATGCCCTTAGATTTTACACTGAAGCGCTTGCCATGGCCAAGACCAAGTCCCAGAGGATTGCGCTGCATAGTAACAGAGCTGCTTGCCACTTGAAACTTCATGATTTTAAGAAGGTGCGTAACGATCCCACTATTTTTATTTGGGGGTTTTTGTACTGGTGTGATGATTCCTGATGAACAATTGTTATTGCTGTTGATTTGATTTCGAATTCGAAGCGGTTCGCGTTTTTACCCGAATCGGATTTGCATTTCGTTAATTGAAACTGATATGTCTAGATATGCTTTCAAATAATCGAATCGATCACTGATTCTAGGATTATAATCCTTCGCGCTTGTAGTGTGATTTTTCCCCTTCGCGTATTTGATTTCTATTCCGTATTTAATTGGAGTTTGAGTCCTTATAATCTTATTGTTTCCATTCTAGGCAGCAGAAGAATGTACGTGGGTTCTTGAACTTGATCATAAGCACACTGGAGCGCTAATGCTCCGTGCCCAGACTCTTGTCACACTCAGGGAATACCATTCTGCTCTGTTTGATGTCAACCGACTTATAGAACTGAACCCATCATCAGAAGTTTATCAAAATCTTCAAACTCGTCTCAAGACGCAATTGGTATGCACTTTCTACTTCTTCCTTATCATACTGTTTGTTCTCTGATCATGTTGATGAAGAATTCAGCTGTAGACATTACTGTTTGATGCTGCTTATTATGTTATAGTATTCATATTTCGTTAATTGAATCATGCCATGACGAACAAGTTGTATCAGGGTTCGTTTTTTTTCTTTGTATTGCTGCAAGATACCAATGTGATACTGGGTTTTTGTTGATCTTATTCATTAATCTTCAATTTGATTGTATACAATTGTGCTTGCGGCCATCAGTAATGGATCTTTTTTATGCTTAAGGAAAGTCACTTGCTCCAATACCTGAATCAGAAGCAGAGTTTGAAGAAGAGGAGGAAGAAGAATATGATGTTGAGTTCAATGACTATGCAGCCAATGAGAAGTGCAATGAGGGAAAAGGAAATGTTATAGCTCCAAGTATTGTTCAGGTACAGAAACCTGAGCACGATTGCAATTTGATAAAAACTACCCTTATCCAGACAACTCGGGGCGACAGTGGATTATCTGATGAAAAAATGGGCAATCAGAAAGCTGAGGTGAAAAACACCACAAAAAGTGAAGTTGTTGTCCTTCAAGCTCAGAGCAAGAAGGGCACGACCGACGTGGGTCCCAATGGCTGGCAAACAATCCCGAAACCAAAAGGACACTCGACTTTAGACTATGCACGTTGGGATAGAGTTGAGGACGATTCCAGTGAAGACGACGATGATGATGAAGAGGAGTCGGGACCTCAATTTCGTTTTCGTGTCAGAACTGTTGGCGTTAAACCTGTGAAATGAACTGAATATACATGATACAATCAAATGCCTTGCTGTCTTGATAGAAAGACGAAACACTGAGCAACTCTGAGCTTCGTGGATATGGAAGTTCATTTGTTTAAGATCAGTACTGTTGAGACCTTCAGACCTATGTAATGTGTAGTTGGTCAGACGCAAAATTAGCACCGTGGATCTTATCGACGAGCAAGCTTTGCACGTAAAGATTTTATACAAAGCTTGAGCTGACGCTGTTTCGTTTGAGTTATGTGTCTGCTGTACAACATCAATTTCTGGGTGGTTATCAGAAATGGAGATCCCGTCTTGGATATGTAAGACATCTCTGGTATATAATGTTCAAAACCTGTTTCTGTTTCTTGAGAAAAGATAGTATATACTATTATATGCCGCTGTCCGCTACTGATTGATGGTAGACTCAGCAGCACACAAAGTTCAAATTTGATGAAATTGGGAAGAACAAATACTTGTATGATAACAACTGAATGAATTGTTAATTCTCTGCTCCTTCGCGTACCTGTGTCTCTGCTATGTTCCTATCTTTCTCTGTCGTGGGTTTTGTTTTTGTGAGATCCCACGTCGGTTGGAGAGGAGAACGAAACATTATTCATAAGGGTGTGGAAACCTCTCCCTAGTCACACATTTTAAAAATTGTGAGGCTGACAACGATACATAATAGGCTAAAGCAGACAATATCTGCTAGCGGTGGACTTAGACTGTTATAGTTTTCTAGTTAGTTTCATGAATCTTTGCGAAGACAACCGGGATCGTGGAGGGAAGTAGCCATTATTTATATATTTTTCCCTAAATATGTTTCTTTTTTGACACCATTATTCTTTGACACCAACTGCTTAAAGCTAAGCAAGCAAAAAAGATGTTATGAATTGCTTGGAGTTGGAGAGATGGATGGCATTGGGAAGTACTACGCAATCAAAAGAAATCTCTTCCTTCTTGTGGTGAATAAGCAACGGATGAAGAATCATTATTTTATGTAACGGTCTAAGTACTACTGCCAATAGATCAATGTGTGATCTCACAATCTCCTAATATGCCTACCAGGGTTGACATTTGTTGAAGGAATATCCTCCATTTTTGTTGTTTGTTGAAGGAATATCCTCCATTTTTGTTGTTTTATCGGGAATATAAATATAAATTATTATTCCCTTAATATTTTTTAATTTTAAAAAAAGATTAAATGGAATTTTTGAAGGGTTGGAGTGAAAGTAGGTGGCATTTTGTATAATTTATTTTAGGAATTAATTCGAAAATAAAGTTTATGAGTGTGACGCATAAAATACAGAAACCAACCATCAATTTATAGCATATTTATTATCGTCATCATCAAAATTATTTTTGTTTTTTTGGGGGATTCGTCCCATCGTACAAAGCAGCGTGAAAATGGAGAGGGCCGAAGCACCCACATTTTTTTTTGAGCTTAGCTCACTGTCAGACTGCTCTTCATTCCATCTTCCTCATAAACCCTAACCAACCATTGCCAAAATCTCTTCTTTTTCTTCTGGGCATTTTCACCAGCCCTCATTTCCCCTCCTTAATTTATCTCTTTGTATTGCAGCAATTGCTCGAGTTTCTGCAATTTCTCCACTTCTTTTCTGCTCTTTTGCCACTTTGAAAAGGTAATGTTAATCGCGTCATTACGCGGTACTTCTGTAAGCTTCATTAGTTGTCCATCAATCTCGTATGTAATCGAGCCTCTTCGTTTCTTTACGCAATCTTTGTTCGTTTGAATCTGAAATTTAGTTTGGGAAAGACTCGCTATCTTCTTTTCTGCTCGTTTTATTTTCTGATTGCTGGTTATCTTGCTTGCAATTTGGGGGTTTCTCTTGAATGTTCTCTTCCAGAAGTTACTGGAAAGATTTGTCGAACTCATGGGAGGGTGGCAATCAAATGTTTCTTTGGCCATGGGTGTTGGGGGTAGACATTTTCCCTTGTATTTATTCTTGGCTATGCAATTGTTGGGCATTTGATGAGCCCTGTTGTTTTCATCTTACTAAGCTTTACACGGGGATATACTGTCGTGTAAATTTGTTCCGAGAGAAACAGTTTTGTGATTTGTTAGAGTCAAGGTTTTGAACTGTGGCTGCTTGCCCTATACTATTTGCTAGTGCTTATTCACCAGGAAGTTTATTATCATCATTGTTTCTTTGAATGTTAAATTTTTTATATTGGTTTCAATTGTGTCTTGCAGATTTATGATCATAATTTCTAAATTACTGAATTTGGTGTATCTAACTTCCAGTTTTCCTGAATAAGCTGTCATTGTCTATGAATCTTGAATAACAGGATATGGATATGAATATGGAGAATTTATCATCTAGTGATCCGTCGCATCAGGCGATGTATGAAAATAGTGATTCGAAGCACTCACAGGATGGGTTGGAGGATGGTTCTCAATGGTATTTTTCTAGGAGGGAATTAGAAGAAAATTCTCCTTCTAAACAAGATGGGATTGACTTGAAAAAGGAGGCATATCTACGCAAATCATACTGTACATTTCTCCAAGATTTGGGAATGAGACTTAAAGTGTGAGTGTTCTAACAATCTTTAAATGTTTTTTTGCCTTACGGCTTATGCCTTAAGTTCTGTTTCCTCAGTGAACGGAGTTCAGTTTTATTGCTGCATTTTCTTCCATTTCATCTTTTAACCGTTGTTTCGCCATTTTTAGATCCTTCTCGAGAAACCTATTCCATTCACTCCTTGCTTTGATATATTTCCATTTGTTGTTAATGAGAGACATTAAATGCACTCTATATCCTTTTCTGTTGTCTGTTTTCGATGTTAAGAATGGAAAAGACAATGCATTGATTTTCTTATATCAACAAATAACTTTATTGAATTGTTTTAAGCGACTTCCTGTTTCCTACACCCCTTCTTTGCCTCTCTTTCTCTCACCATCTTCCCCATGATAAGCTTGGCTCTTTTCAACATATTTCTTCCATTTATTTTGTTGTCTTTTATTTTTAGGGCCACGGAAGGTGCTTTTTGCAATGTAAAAAATTTCTCATGGAGGAAAATTAACTCATCTCTGACTTCAATTTCTTGCACTTATGGAAATTTGATGTGGGTGCAACACTTGCCCTATATATATATTTTCGATCTTTTCGTGGATTAATTAAAAGAAACAATATCTTTGAGGAAATAAATTCCCAAGTGAAAAAAAATATCGAAAGAATAAAAGAAACAAGCTAGGGGAAAAATTAGTACCCCCAATTTGTGTAAGTAACATTTTGAGAATACTCAAAAAATGAAACTTTAATGTTGACTTAATCAAACCATTTTTGCCATATGAAATGCTTTTCTTCAAAGATCCTTATGTTTTTTTTAGACCAAATCTCAGAAGTGATAGTCTTGACAGTGTTAACCCAAGTTGTCCCGTTGGGGACACCCGAGAGTGTTACCCAAATTATTTATCTTTCTTAGAGAGAAATTAAGAATTTTCAGTTTGCTTTTCTTTGTCTCTAGCTATCCTCGATCAATTATTCGATTATCTCAAACTAAAATCGTGTCCATTGTTGTTTTTGATTTTATTATGCAGTCCCCAGGTAACCATTGCTACAGCAATAATATTTTGTCATAGGTTCTTTCTTCGGCAGTCTCATGCAAAGAATGACCGAAGGGTAAGTTCATTCTTCCAGTTTTTGTTAACAATTATTTATTTTGTGTGCATAAGCATATGAGAATTGTTCTCTCAAGGCGGACAATTTATATGCTTTGTTGATTTGGTTTGCTGGCATTTTTATATCAACTCTTTTCTGAAAATTTTCAGATGCTCAAGGGAAAAAAAAAAATCTTTTTAAAGCTTCCTTTTTATGTATTTGATATTTTTTCTTAGAACATTTTGGAGCTTCAGTTATCTATAGATTGCAAGTTCAATTTTTATAACAGGAGCTTTTCTGTTTCTTTTCACACTGAGTTTGATTTTGATAGTAGTAGCTTTTGTTCTGTTTCTTTTCACACTGAGTTTGATTTTGATAGTTGTAGCTTTTGTTCTGTCTCTTTTCACACTGCAATCAGTTGAATTGAAAGCTTTCTTTCGAGATGCCCTTTTCATGTTTGGATGAGGACATGGAAATTTGATTCCATGGACCACGGGCATCTACTATTCTGTTTCTCATGCAGGAATCCCGAATTCATTCTATGATGGAATTTCATAGATACATAAAATAGTGCGATCCTTAATATTTCTCTATAAGAAATCTGTGCCTGTCCCAAAGCGGTGGAATCTCTAATATTGCTGACATGCAATGAGTGACAACTTTACAAAACCCTTTTTCCCTCTATTTAAGTTTTAAAGTTTGTTTACTGTATGATGAAACCAAAACTTATTTGTCCCCATAAACAAAAGCCTCAATAATTTTAAACTTCCAAGCTACCATTCAAAATTATCCATTTTTTTAAATAATTAAACTTTTGGCTTGCTATGGTCCAGAGTTTGAGCATTTTCAGGATGATGTAGGAAGTCATTTTGGATTTTCTGTCCCTATACAAGGGCTACTTTGACAATACTTTTGAGCATTGCTAGGTCATGGGAAGAGGTCTAGGGTTTGATGCATGTTAACATACTTGTAGACTCATTTGGAGTTACTCTTTGTTTATGATTACCAATAGTTGGGGATCTTGAACAGTTGGTTTGTTTATTGAACAAAATTTGAAGGAACAGCATTCTCTAGTATTTTTTTCAATGCTCTATTGTTTGGACCATTCTTTTCTGTAGGTCCCTCATTTATATTTTCATTTTTTCTTTATCGAAATTGGTTTCTTATCCGAAAATAAAACTTCTTCGTATGGTCTCCTAAACAAAATTGGATATTTCTTTCAATTAATTCAGCATACGTGCTTTAAAAGCCAAGTGGAATCTCATGGTTCAATGAGTGATAGTGCTTTTTGGAGATTGTGGTTTGAAAGGGTTTTTTTTTAGGGGAGAACACCAGCCAAGTCAACTTTCAGGACCTTATTAGAATTTTTACTTACGCTACATCTAAGACTTGTAATTATAGCGTCCACTTTTTGCTGATATGGAAACTCCTTTGTAATGTCTTTTACGTGGTGGAGATATATCATCTTTCTTCCTTTTGTACTGTCTCTCGTGAAAATGAAATATTAGTTTCTTATCAAAATATACACACACGCAGGCATCAATGCTTAGGTTCACCAAGGCACAACAACATCCTGTTTCTCAAATCTGCCTGCATTTTTATGGTTTGAGACCTTGTATCTAGTTGCTCATAAGCCACTTTGATTGGCTCTGCTTCTTTTGCTCCATCAATTTATGGTTCTCAAGGCCTTAGTATTTAGACTTGCTTGGCCTTCTTCTTACACTTATGTTTGGGACGTATTTTTCATCACAGTGATAATGATAATACTAGTCCTTTTCCCTCCTTTATTGAAATTCAGTATTTGATAATCTCTTGGGCCGATTTTTTTATTTTGTTGATGTGCTTATGCTTAAAATGTGTTGTTGCAACTTGTTAGTAATAGATCCGTAGTATACATTCATGCCTTGTTCTTACATTTTTTCTTGGTATGTTTAAGAGATAAATTTTTGTTCTTAACATTCCTCCATCCGTTTGGTTTAATTTTCTTACCTTTTTCCATTTTTGTTCTTACATTTTTTCATTTTCGTTTGTTAAGAGAATTTTGTGGTCTTATTTGTTGTACTTCATAAAAGGTGTTGGAATGAAAGCTGAAGTAGAGCAACCTATCACATAGAGCTGAGCTCATATACGTATTGAATTGATGATGTTATTTTAGTGCCTCAGTTTAGTTTAATTTTCTTGCAGACAATTGCGACAGTGTGTATGTTTCTCGCAGGAAAGGTTGAAGAAACCCCGCGTCCATTGAAGGATGTTATTATGGTCTCATATGAAATCATCAACAAGAAGGATCCTACTGCAGCCCAGAAAATTAGACAAAAGGTATCAAATGGTTAGAGTGGGTCTATTTTCTGTTCTCATTTCACGGTGACTGGTATCTCGTACCCATGTGCTTTTAGTTTCTGATGTTGTTATTGCTTATGCCAAGCTTAAATACTGGGTCATTTATTCTCTTTGTTTCTTTCTTTGTCTTTAAATGCTCATTTGCGCCCTTGTCTTAGTTACGAGCGAGCTAGTAGCTCTTTTATTTTTGGCTTCAGCAACATAATGAACTTTTAATGAGCATTGGAATCGACCATGATTTAAACGAAATAGCGCTAAAAATTTGGTCTGCAATAGGATTTATTGGAAGTAAGATTATGTTTGGAACACTTAGGAGCCATCATGGTCTTGTCTGGAGGTTGTTCAGCTCAACTCTGGACATAGTTTAATTTATTCCTTGTTCGATAAAATGAAAGCGTATATTTATTTAAACGATTAAATTATTTATCAACATATTCACATAATCTCCTGCAGGAGGTGTATGAACGGCAAAAAGAGTTAATTTTACTTGGGGAGAGGGTTGTTCTCGCAACTCTTGGTTTTGATCTTAACGTGCACCATCCCTACAAACCTCTCGTTGAGGCAATTAAAAAATTCAAAGTTGCTCAAAATGCCTTGGCTCAAGTAGCTTGGAATTTCGTCAATGATGGGTATGGGATGTATGGCAGATTGCATGCCTTAGTTTTTTGTATTGTGCCCTATAGATGGCTTTTCTCCGTTCTCTTTTCTTGAAATGGGGATGTGGTATGCAGATTGCGGACATCTCTTTGCTTGCAATTTAAGCCTCACCATATTGCGGCTGGTGCCATTTTCCTTGCTGCCAAATTTCTCAAAGTTAAACTCCCATCAGATGGGGAAAAGGTGTGGTGGCAAGAGTTTGATGTCACCCCACGGCAATTGGAGGGTCAGTGTCAATGCCATTTTCTTTGAATGTAGCAGTGCACCAGAAACTGGTTCTGCATTGAACTTCGTTTGGTTGAAGTACTCGCTGAAACATTCGCCTTCGTTCCTAGATCTTGTGTTGAGAAAAATTTACATTTTAAGCCAGGCAAAAGTATATTCTTGCAGAAGTGATGCATTTGGAAAATGATATGCTTAACTGTTCTCATTTTCCCTTTTAATAATTGGATGTGATTCTAACAGTGAATGGTTATCTTTTGCAGAAGTCAGCAACCAAATGTTAGAACTTTATGAACAGAATCGATTGCCTTCTGGTGAAGCTGATGGAAGCATTGGAGGTGGTCCTTCCAATCAAACCTCAATAAAAGCTCCCTCAAACAGCGAAGAACGGGCTGTAGCGGACAATCATGCACTTGGTGCGGGTCTTGCTACTTCAAGACTTGGAACCTCAAAAGCTAGTTCATCTAGGCCAGCATCTGAACACTCATTTGCAGGTGACCAGCCATCGAGAGCAATGCGGAATCATAGTATCGAAAGTTCGAATGTAGATTTTAGAAACCCTTCCAATCACAATACAGGTAGTGAATCTAAGGTTAGACAGGAGATGGAGACATCGGCTTTCCATGACAAGGGAAACGCTCAAAACTTGTTAAGGCATCAGTCTGAGGGATTGGTTGGGCAAGACCATGGAAATGATATGAAAACAAAGGAAACAACAAGGGATTCAATGGAACTTAAAGACAAACATGTGATTCGAAATACAGATCTTAGAGAAGGTACACTCGGTAAATCTCAGGACGCTATCAAAAAGATCGATAAGGACAAAGTAAAGGCTGCACTCGAGAAACGAAGGAAGTCTCTCGGCAGCATGACCCAGAAAAAAGAATTAATGGATGAGGATGATCTGATTGAAAGGGAGTTGGAAGCTGGTGTTGAGATGGCTGCTGGGAGTGAGAAAAACAAGCGAGAACAGAGGCAAAGTTGGAGTAAGTCATCGAATAAACAAGAATATGATGATTCATATCAAGACAGTCATTGAGAGGACGATGAAGGTGAGTATCCACAAGGAAGGTGACAGTCTCATATGATATAGATTCTAGCAACATGGAAGAAGGGGAGTTCACAAATGCTCACCATGCTGGCTATGAACATCAAGATTCCCCAAAGTTGAACAGTTGTAAGAGAGGCAGGGAGCTCACAGGGTAAAACTCTTGAAGAGAAAACCAAGTCAAGTCGTGTCAGGTAGTTGCAGCTGGTCGAACAGAGACGGACCATGAGAATCGTAGAATCATGTTCGAGAAGTTTCACCAGAGGTAGTAGTCATTGCTGGAATCACTCATTGTCCGAGATCAGTTTAAGGGCTATGCTCTCCGGAGATGGTTGGGTCGCGGGACTTGATGAACATATATACTCTATTGAGGGGCTCTCTTTGATGTCAGCATAAGAATGTGATGATTAATTGTTACTTTTAAACAAATTAGCATCGTTACATTTGTTATAATTCTGTTCGATAGAATTTTTATTTTTTCAGAACGTGTCAATTCTTCTTCTGATGATCGGATTAGAGATGGTTATATTTTGTCTCTTCAACAAATTTTGTAACAAGCATATGGTTGGGTTCTTTTTTCTCATGTATTTTGGAAAGTTAGAACCTATGAACGATCCTACCTACTCCAATTTGAATGCATGAATTTGAAAATCAGATCAAACCAATAACAAAAGGGAGCGCGGCAATTATGGAATCGAATCTTTCTCGTTTTGTTTTTTTGTTGAGAATTTGCGTGTTTGGTAAGCCCTTAATTTTCCTCTTCGAACCGTCATAGCTTCGTTTCGGAATTCTTTTCGTCTCATTTCTGCTGTTGAATCCTCAACCTCCGCTTCTCTGTCTGGAATTCATAGAGAGAGATCGAGTATGTCGCAGAGCAATGGGCCTGATTTCAACCTACCTGATGAGATTTTGGCGGTGATTCCAACGGATCCATACGATCAGCTCGATCTTGCGCGAAAAATCACCTCCATGGCGATTGCCTCTCGTGTGTCGAATCTTGAAGCAGACATGGTAAGGATGAAGCAAAAGCTTAACGAGAAGGAAATAACCATCTACGACCTGCAAAAGAAGTTGTCTCACCTCGAGCACGCGAACCAGGAAGCTGAATCTAGGTTGAAGATCGCGCTTGATGATAATGTAAGCGGCACACTGTTCGCTATTGAGATTGACAAAAACAATTTATCCGTTTTTGCTCAAATTCAATGGCTCTTGATTCTGCAGCATCTCAATTCTCCACGAAGACAAATGACTGATAGCTCAGTACTTTGCTTTTGATTGACGATTCAAGAAAAGGCCAAAATATTCCGAATTATCCTCTTAATCTCTGCACTGAGGAACATAAACTAGTTCTTGGGTTTTATATAATCTTTGAGCTTCTCCTTATTTGAGCAGTTTCGTTAACTTGGTTCCCCATGCCTTAGAATATCTAATTAGTTAATTCTTTGTGTGGGGGTTTATCATTGAATCAGTAGAGTATTACTTTCTTTTAAGAATGAACAAAGTGGTGATTGTTTTGATAGACTCTTGAGCCTAATTTTCTGGTTCCTCATTGAAGCATATTTGACCTTTCGTTTTTGTTTTATGAAGACGAGGCTTTCCATGGAAAGGGATGCACTATCAATGACTTCAAAGAAACTTGGACGTGATTTGGCAAAGGTGAGATTGAGGTCACTCTTTCTTATGCAGAAACAAGTTACCTTTATTCCTCTGCCTGTTTTACCTCTGTTGCTGTCAAGTTTGACACTTTTGTAGTATTTAGCTTTGGCTACTTGTCAAACTTTGAGTGAACTAACTGCTTTATGGTGCGAACTGAAAGGATATCCATCTTGTATTGCTCATAGACTAAGATAAGAGCTAACATGTGGGCCAGTTATGGCATGTGGTGTCTCTTGAACTTAAATATCTGCCTGGCTTCTGGACTGGAAGGAAAAAGACCTTAGGATATGAATCTTTAAGATAAGTTCATCAGTTTTTTTAATGAGAAATATAAAGTTGGCATAAATTTCTTGATTTCTTTCCCTCTTATGGGAGTTCGGTCAAGATCTTGGGAAGTTGGGTCAGGGTAATTGTAACGGCCCAAGCCCACTGCTAGCCGATATTGTCTTCTTTGGGCTTCCCCTTAAGGTTTTTAAAATGCGTATGCTAGGGAGAGATTTCCACATCTTTATAAAGAATGTTTTGTTCTCCTCCCTAATCGATGTGGATCTCACAATCCACCTCTCCTTTGGGGCCCAGCTTCCTCGCTGTCACTCATTCTCTTCTCCAATTGATTTGGGACACCCCAATCCACTCCCTTCTGAGCCCAACATCCTTGCTGGCACACCACCTTGTGTCCACCCCCTATGGGGCTCAGCCTCCTCGCGAGCAAGTTGGCACATCGCCCAGTGTCTGCTTTGATACCATTTGTAACAGTCCAAGCTCACCGCTAGCGGATATTATCCTCTTTGAACTTTCCCTTTCAGGCTTCCCTCAAGGTTTTTAAAATGCGTCCACTGGGAAGAGGTTTCCACACCCTTATAAAGGGAGTTTCGTTCTTCTCCCCAACCGTGTGGGATCTCACAGTAATAAAACAAAAGAAGATAAATTGGCTTTGTGCACCTTTAGTTAGAATAGAGTTCGTGTACCCATTCTACCATGTCTTTAAATTACTCTTTTCAGTTTATTGTAATCACCTCTTATGTTATTTTATATAATTTTTGGCATATGAGATGAGTGCTTCAGTTCATGAGATTTCATACTTTGTTGTGAACCTGGTGTCTTTCATACTGCAGCTGGAGACGTTTAAGCGACAACTTATGCTATCATTGAATGATGAATCCTCTGTAAGGTTTCCGGTCCATAAATTTTACCAGTTATGATATGCTTGGCATAATACATATTTCTTAGTGTATAAGTTCTCCTGTGATATCTTCTTTTTAACAGCAAACAGAAACTGTTGATATTGGGACCTGTGATCAAGCAGTTCCTAAAGCATATACTGATAAGGGTATTATAGAATTTCTTGATCTTAGTTTATATCTGTGATATGTTCGGTGTTCAATTGGACTTAACTTTCACCTGGACTTCAGACGAGGTAACTGATGGACACGCCACACGTTCTTTCAGTGGTTCTACGGAGACGAGAAACACAATAGATGAAGGTATTATTTGTTACCCTGTTCAATGCAAAGGATAGAAGATAATGAACTGATAATAATTAGATTATAAACTTAAATACCAAATTAATATCTTAAAACCATGCATTAATTGAAATCCTGGAGAATGTCATTTTTGTTGCCAGTTGGTTTTCAAGGAATCCTCTTCAATTAATGGTCGATAAATTAAACACTAATGGCAAAGTTTCATCTCCAACAGGAAAACATCTTGGACAAAGATTTTCATCGCTGCATATCACCCCAAGGTTCACTCCATCTGCGACTCCAAAAACTACTTCAAAGAGTGTATCCCCCAGAGGGTATTCCTCCGTTGCTTCGCCACAGATAACATCTGGTTCAACTTCTCCAACAAAACTCTCATATGATGGACGAATCGCACTATCTCCATGGTACCCGTCAAGCCAGCAGTCTTCAGCAGCAAGTTCTCCTCCTCGTTCTCGTCCACTGGCCGGTAAAAGAAATGTTATCATTTTTTTCCTCTCTTTTGAAGATTAAGATGTTCTTGAACGTTTTGAAGCATGTTCTGTCATTTTATATTTTCTTGTTTATTTTGATGTGGATTTTCCAGTTATCTATTGCTGCAAACATTTAAATTTAGATGCTCCCTTGGGGGTAAAGATTTCAGCTACTTCCGTGCCTGTTTGAACTACGGTTTTCTGTTTAATCTTTTGCCCTTAAATTCTGCAGGTCGCCCTGCTCGAGTCGATGGCAAGGAATTTTTCCGCCTTGCCAGGTTTGTTTTTATATTCCACTGGAACTATGTGATCAATGAATCTAGACTGAAAAGAACATGTTGACTGATGAATTTGTAAATTATTACAGGAGTCGTCTGTCATACGAGCAGTTTAGTGCCTTCCTTTCAAACATAAAAGAACTCAATTCTCAAAAGCAGACTAGAGAGGTAGATTCATCAGTATTTAACAGTTTGCTAAGAACTTTCATATCTTGGGACCTTTTTTGTTTACTAGTATATGGTTTCAATTGGCCTTTGCTTCCAGGAAACTTTAAGAAAAGCAGAAGAGATATTTGGGACAGATAACAAAGATCTTTTTCTGTCATTTCAAGGATTGCTTAACCGCAATATTCACTAGGCCTCTCTCTAGTAGATATTGTTTACAATCACACATGATCTCTCCTTGTAGATTATTAGAGAGAAAATTCACAATGTTTGTTCTCAACGGCTGCTTGCTCGCTCCGAAGACGTATGTATGCTGCATGCAGGCTCACACTCGCAATGTTTTTGTAAAATATCAAACCTCTTGTAGTTGAAACTTCTTTTTCTATGGAAATATTGACTTCGGTTTTTAGAAAAGTGAAAGAAACAAAGAAAAAAAAGAAAGGAAATGGAAAAACCTGTTGAGTTCTGTACCTCCATCATGTGCTATGTCTCTGTGACAACTCTATTTGGGAAAAGTATTACTTCCAGAACTCAAAGGCTGTGTGCTGTCAAGTTTGCATTTAAAGGAGGGAAGTCAGTGCGATCTGATTGAAAGAAACTAACTTATTTATGATGAAAAGTTCAGCCTTTCACTAATATCATTTGTGAAATATCAGGGGATGATAGCTTGCAGGAGAACCCAGAAAAGTGATCATCTCAGATGCTCCATAATCAGCGTACGTTCACTTGGGCTACATTGATATGAAACTCTGAATTATTAGATGGCGACTCAGTGGGTAAACCTCAGGTAAAAGTAGTGATTCTTTCTGCCAAGAAAACTAATGGGAATCATTCTGTTTTTCACTTGTCTTTTTTGGGTTTATATTCATTGGTTTCAATTTCACAATTCTACATTTTTGGTACTTCTCATTTCAGTTTAGTTAGTTTGGTTAGGAATCACAACTCTCCACAATAGTATGAAATTGTACATTTTGAGCATAAGCTCTCATGGCTTTGTTTTGGGCTTCCCCAAAAGGTCTCATGCCAATGAAGATGTATTCCTTACATCCTCCCAACAATCCTCACCTCGAACAAGTATACTATAGAGCCTCCCTTGAGGCCTATGGAGCCCTCGAACAGCTTCTCCTTAATTGAGACTCGACTCCTTCTCTAGAGTTCTCGAACAGAGTACACCCTTTGTTTGACACTTGAGTCACTTGTGACTACATTTTCAAGGCTCACAACCATTTTGTTCGACATTTGAGGATTCTATTGACATGGTTAAGTTAAGGATATGACTTTGATATCATGTTTGGAATCACGACTCTCCACAATGGTATGATATTGTCTACTTTGAGCATAAGCTCTCATGGCTTTGCTTTGGACTTCTCTAAAAGGTCTCATGCCAATGGAGATGTATTATTCCTTACATCTTCCCAACAATCCTCAACAAGTGTAGTATAAAGTTTGCAGGTGAAGTAACCCCATAATTGCCTCCAACTTCTCCATTTGTGTTTCAAACACCATATTCCCCAAAACCCATGCCCATTTGTACTGGAACTAACAGAGCCCACATCTCAGAACACAATAGAAAACTTTTGAAACTGCATAATAAGGCCAAAATGTACATGCCCTTTTCCTTTTCTGAAATCCCCTTTCCCCAATTGAAGTGAAGGGTTGATGGTACAACAGGGTGTGTGTAGGGGACCGAAACATTAGGGGCAGTAAGCAGATAGGGAGACTCAGACAAGAAGAAAGAAGAAGAGATATTGATTTGTAGAATGATGGGATGGAAATTGGAAAAGGGTTATTAGAAGAAGCACCCGATACTCTCTCTTAGGCTTTACAAAATACTTCTTTTGAGGCAAAACGCAGAGGGCTGACGGAAAGATAAGATTTTTGGTCAAAAGAATCTGCAAAAATGGCTGTCACTGTTTTGATAAGATTGAGATTCTCAAGTTGCTCGTTCTCTTTCGGCATACACACACACACATATATATGGCTTTAAAGTGGACAATATTTGCTGGTAGTAGAATTGCCCTGATACATGATCTTTGGAATGTCCTTCCGCTCATACAATGAAAAAACAAAATGTTAGAAAGTTACCCCATTTTTAGACACTTGGTTGGAAATTGCTTTTTTCATTTTTTTTTTTTTTTTTTTGGGAACTTTAGGGTGAAATGTGTATTATATTGTACAAATTCGTATAGAACCCATATATGGATTAAAAACCCAATTCCAAGACTAAATTCATTCATATCAGTCCTGTAAAGGGCATTTGAAATGTTGAAGAAAACAAGAACAAGAATAAGAACAGAGCATTAAAGGAATATTTCATATAATGGCAATAAAATGATGGGTAATGAAGAAGAAGCCTTCAGATTTGGGGATATATTGTTGTACTTGGGACGTCTGGATGCTCTCACAGCCAAACCCATGTGTTAGATTCTTTGGTTGTTTTAGTAGTTCTTAGGCTGTCTGTACTGCCAGAATACTATTCGCACCAGGCCTCCCATTACCCTCTCTTTTCTGCCTTCTTTCCCTTTTCCTTCTTCATACTTTTTTCTCCTTAATTATCTATTATAACACATCATTTACCTTCATTTTTAAAACAAAATAAATATCAATTTTCCTCGTTTGAGCCCACCCAACCAACAAGGGAAGAGTACCTATAGTGAGATCCCACATCGGTTGGAGATGAGAATAAAACATTTCTTACAAGAATGTGAAAACCGTGAGGTTGATGGCGATACATAACAGGCTAAAACGGACAATATGGACTTGAGTTGTTACAAATGGTATTAAAGTTAGGCACCGGGCGGGATGCCAGTGAAGATGCTAGCCCCCAAGGGGGTGGGTTGTGAAATCTCATATCGATTGGAAATGGGAACGAAACATTCTTTATAAGAATGTGGAAACTTCTCCCTAACATAAACGTTTTAAAACCGTGAGACTGACTAGCGGTGAGCTTAGGCGGAAAGTTGCAGTAGCAGACAATTTACGGTCAGCTGACGGGGCTACCCTACCCCTGGTTGCATCAACTTTCAAAGCTGACCCAATTGTTGTCTATAAAAGTTGGATGCATTCACAAAAGTATTGGATTAAAAGAAACACCAAAATTTTTGACACCAACAATTCTCTCTTTTGCTCTCTTTCTTCTTTCACATCTTTAACTAATATCCATGGCTTCATTTCCTCACTTCTACTCTGACCTTCTTTATCCCAACAACTTTTCCGACCTTCAGAGCCTATTAATGGCGGCTGGAGACCCCAGAGTCGGTGGTATTAGAAACGACAACAACAATAATAATATCGACTTGCCTCGTGGGGAAGAAACTTTTGTTCCTTCCTTTGATCAGATGGCGTCGTTCGAGTCCGATACCCAATCGCCGCTCCTAACTATGCCGTATCCCGACCTGACTGTCCCATCATCGCCCGAGTTTAACAAGGGTATGTATGGCATCCATAGCGTAAGCGACAGCCAGCCGCCCGCCTCATGCAATTACGACGACGAGCTCTTACACTTTGTGCCTAATTTGAAGCCCTTCTATCGCAACATCTGGGTAATAATAACATGTCTCAAAATTTAAAAGCTTAAGCTAATATGTTATAGTATGATATTTGAAGTATTTTGTGACGTAGGGAACTCAAAGCAGCTACGAAATGCATGGCGTGGAAGAGACAAATATTAAGGTGGCAAGTCGCTACTCGGAAGAAGAAAGAAAAGAGAGAATTGTTAGATATTTGAAAAAAAGAAACCAGAGAAATTTCAACAAAACCATTAAGGTTCTAACAATTCTCCTTCTCTCCTAATTTATATAAATATATTGTTCGGGATTGTTGGGAGAGGAGTCTCATGTTAGCTAATTAACGGGTTGGTCATGAGTTTATAAGTAAAAAAACACTATCGTCATTGGTATGAACCATTTTAGAAAAGCTCAAAACAAAGCCACGAGAGCTTATACTCAAAGTCGACAATATCATATCATTGTGGAGGTCTGTAATTACTAACATATAGTTCTTAAAATCCTCATGGTTTTTGTATGTTATTTCATAGTATGCATGTCGCAAAACCCTAGCAGACAGAAGAACACGAGTACGAGGAAGATTTGCTCGCAACAACAACGAGCTTTGTGACACAGAAATCCCTCTCAAAACCAACCATTTAACTGCCCCGTCTCACAATCAAACGGTAAAAACCTTACAAATTATCCATTTTCTTGATTCTATGTTTTTTTGTTTATAAAGACAAGACCTTTATCATTTTTTGTGTTTTGTTGTGTTTTTTTGGACAGAATAAGGAAGAAGAAGAAGAGAGCTGGCTGCAAGAACTGGCAGCAAGTTTGATGTATTTACCTTATGTGACAAATTATGGAGTGTAATTTGACACAATTATTACACATGTAAAATTTGATCGACCTTTGTACCTTAAACTAACTATTAAAAATGACTTTTTTTTTTTGGGTTCTAAAAAACTCTCTTTTTCATCAAGTGGTTCTTCATACGTCAGTTCAATTGATTGCTTTTTTTTGCTTTCTGAGATGTGATTCTGTTTCATACGAAAGTGTGAGATCTCATATCGGATGTAGAGAAAAACGAAACATCTCTTATCAAGATGTGGAAATCTCTCTCTAGTAGACGCGTAAAGCGGATAATATCCGTAAGTCGTGTGTTTGGGCTGTTACAAATGATATCAGAACCAGACACTGGGAAGTGTGCCAGCGAATAGGCTGGCTCCCAAAGGGTGGATTGTGAAATCTCATTTCGATTAGATAGGAGAACAAATTATCTCTTATAATGTGTTTTAAAACCGTAAAGCTGACGGCAATATATAATAGGCAAAAGCATACAATATCTAATAGCGGTAGGATAAGTTTGGACGGTTACACCAAACTTCCCATAATTTACTCGATCGTAACTATATGTAAGTGATCGACCAAAATGGGATCTTTTTTCTTAATTAATTGTGATTAGGGAGAGAAAAAAAGGGTTTAATTTATTGGCCCTTCAGGCCTCAAAATTAAAGGTTATGGGGGGTGGCATTAGGGCTTTGGGATGTGTTTGATAGCACTAAGTAAGAGCTTGAGAAGTGGGTGACCCATTCTGTGGGTGACTTATTGGCTTCATGATGTGTTCTTACAAAGAGACTTTCATGGATTCTCTTGCTTTTTTTCCCTCTTGTTGAAAAGATATGTTATTCTCAGATTCTTTTCTTTGGTAGATCGATAGATCTTAATGTTGAAGATGCGTACATTATTTTACATCACGAACAAAAGAAAGAAAAAAAGATATAGTGCTTGTTCGTCTTGAAATGTTGGTGTATATATTGAGCGATGAAGCTTGAAATGGATATCATGTGTTCGGGTTCGTAAACCCATTTAGGGGTTGCCAAAACCAAGGTTTTATTTGGAGAATCTCACTTTGTTTAAATATTTTCTAAGACACTAAAGTAAAGAAGAGACAGGTGAATGAACTGAGATCACATTCGAAGAGTTATGAGGATGAGGATAAGAAGACTAAAAAGACTTAAAGAAAATAAAAGTTACTACCTATACTAACAAGGTGTACTGTGAGATCCCACATCGGTCGGAGAAAGGAATGAAAATGAGTGTCAAAGAGAACGCTAGCTCGAAAATGGGAGGTGAATTGTGAGATCCCACATCAGGTTGGAGAAGAGAACGAACATTTTTCATAAGAGTGTGGAAGCCTCTTTGTAACATACGTGTTTTTAAATCTTGAGGGGAGGCCGAAAAGGGAAAGACTTCTTGAGGGGAGACTTGCAAGGGAAGGGCTTGGGCTGTTACAAATGGTATTAGAGCCAGACACTAGGCAGTATACCAGCGATGACGCTACACCCCGAAGGGGATGGACATAGGAGGACGCTATAGATTGTGAGTACCAGCAAAGACGTTGGATATCTGTTAACGATATTCTTGAAATCCAAAGAAAAAATCCAAAGAAGACAATATCTGTTAACGGTATTCTTGAAATCTTACGGTTGCTAAAAATATATATATATATATTCCAAACACAACATAACATTATAACATTATAACATTATAACATAAGATTGATGTGATTATGGGATCATCCAATTCTGTTCCCATTTGAAAAGTGGAGAATCTAAGCCCACGGGTTCATCATTTCAGCTCTTTCCCTGTCTGTATTAGATTAATACTTCTACAATTTCGATTCAATGAATGCAAAGGGGGCAGCTGCCCATTTTGGATCGTCAACTCACAATCTGGATTCATTAGCCGCCACCCATAGTCATCCTCCAAAAACTATTGCAAAAATATGAGTTCTTTCTTAGTATTCAATCCTTCAATAATGTTCTCTTGACAGAGGAAACCTTTTATTTTAAGCAACAAAAAGGGATAAAGACAAACAACAAGTGGGGAATCAATAATGTTTGGTGCCCCAACAGCCTATGCTTGAACAACAAATCTAAGGATAACTCCTTGTTCCTTGAGAGATAGATTTGGCATTCAAATCCTACGAACTTTCACTCTTGTTTCTTCTTCCTAGAAGATGGATCCTTAACTATCATATCTCAAAATTCTTATGATATCTATGTGTTTCCTTCATCCTCAGTACACCCTAATGGACTTAGATTTGGCTAATGAATGGTACTAATGGACTTACTTCGTTATGTATCGCCGTCAGACTCTTCAACTTATGTGAAATCTTACAATCCACCTCCTTTGACGGCCAGCTTCCTTGCTGGCACACTGCTCGGTGTCTAGCTCTGTTACCATTTATAACAATCTAACCCCACCGCTAAGAGATATTGTCCGCTTTGACTCGTTACGTGTCACTGTCAGCCTCGCTGGCACACTGCTCGATGTCCACCCCCTACGAGGCCCAGCGTCCTCACTAGCATACCGCCCAGTGTCCACCCCCTTTAGGGCTCAACGTCTTCACTGGTACACAATTCGGTGTCTGGCTTTGATACCATTTGTAACAACCCAAACCCACCTAGGAGATATTGTCCTCTTTCGACTTTCCCTCTCGGGGCTTCCCCTCAAGATTTCTAAAACGCGTATGCTAGAGAGAGGTTTCCACACCCTTATAAAGAATACTTAGTTCCACTCTCCAACCGAGGTGGAATCCCATCGTAATTATCCTCATTTTTTGAGTGGATCAAGAAAGGGAAGGACACAATAGTAATTTCCCATAACAATGTTGTATTATATCCCAATTATTATATGAATATTAAAAAACCTAGGAAGGCACTAAATTTCCTCATCTTGTATTACAATTAAAAATAATAATTTTGACTTTAATCAAAAAACTAATTTAGGTTTCAAAACCTTAAACAGATACATCATTGTTAATAGAATATCCAACATTGCTTAGCTAGAGAGCACCACATTCAGTGCTCCACTGTCTCCTCCCTTATTACGATGCTTTCTTAACATGTGATTACGGAGTTAATGACAGCGCTACTTTGGTATTAATCAACATTAATTTATTGCACTCATTCATAATTGGCAACTGCTCCTTCTACCATACATTTGTGCAGTCAAATGAAAAAGACCACAACTTCTTAAGAACCCTATAAATTGAAAGCTCTTTACTTTGATTTGTGTGATCAGCTCCTCCCTTCGTTTTGAGAATGTTTACAGAGCCTGAGATTGATGACGGTCAGTTCCCACTTCCAGGGTTCCGGTTCCACCCTACCGATGAAGAACTCGTCGGATTTTATCTCCGGCGAAAGGTGGATAAAAAGGCCATCGGCACTGAGCTCATCAAGTCCACTGATATCTATAAGCATAGTCCTTGGGATCTTCCTAGTATGATTTCTCACTTTCAGATTCATTTATTTGGTTTCTAATTTTATCAACAATATGTATATGGGTTTTGTTTAAAGATTTCAAAGGTATAAGCTTTTTTCCCTTTCTGTTCTCGTTTCATACAAATATGAAATTTTGGTTTCGGGTTTTGAGTTTTGTAGCGCCCCAAATCCACTGCAAGTAGATATTGTCCTCTCTTAGTTTTTAGTTTCAGGTTTCTCCTCAAAGTTTTTAAAACCCGTATGAAAGGTTTCCACATCTTTACAATGAATGTTCCGTTCTCTCCCACAACCGACGTGTATGCTAGGGAGAGGTTTCACGCCCTTGGAAACAATACTTCGTTTACCCCCAACCGACGCGTATGCTAGAGAGAGGTTTCCACACCCTTATAAAGAATGATTTGTTCCCCCAATCGACGCCTATCCTAGGGAGAGGTTTCCACAATCTTATAAAGAATGTTTCTTTCCCTCCAACCAGTGCGTCTGCTAGAGAGAGGTTTTTACACCCTTATAAAGAATAGTTCGTTCCCCCAAGAGTATGCAAGGGAGAGGTTTCCACACCTTTATAAAAAATCTTTCGTTTCCCTCCAACCAACGCATTTGCTAGAGAAAGGTTTCCACACCCTTATAAACAATGCTTCTCATTCTCCTCCCCAACCCACGTGGAATATCACAATTTTGAGTTAAAAGTTTGAAAGGGTTAAAGGTTATGTGTTGTTTTTTTAATGATTTTGGAGACATCAAGAAACATCGAGTTGTGTTGTTCATATTTCTTGAGCTCTTTGTACACAACAACAACAATTAATAAGCGAAAATCATGCAGATAGTGGCAACAATTTGGGAGACAAGGAGTGGTACTTTTTTTGCAAAAGAGCAAGAAAATACAAGAACAGCATAAGACCAAATAGGGTTACAGGTTCAGGGTTTTGGAAAGCAACTGGAATTGACAAGGTGATTTGCTCTCATGGAGGACAAGGAAATCGCTGCATTGGCCTCAAGAAAACCCTTGTCTATTACAAAGGAAACGCAGGCAGAGGCACCAAAACTGAGTGGATGATGCATGAATTCCGCCTCGCTTCCCACACTCTTAATACTCGTTCTTCCATCTTTGCAACAATCAGAAACAATCATCAAGAGGCTGTAATAAGTTTTTTTTTTTTGTTTTTTTTTTTTAATCTTCGAAAATTGTTCTTGTTTTCTCATCGATCTTATAATCGCAGGAAATTTGGACGTTGTGTCGAATATTTCAGAGAAGCGTTTCGAGTACAAAATATGCACCAAATTTCAGGAAGATTGCAGCTGGGAATGATGGTTCAATCAATATGAACTCAAATGATAATGCATTTTATAGTGAAGATCAGTGGTATGATGGAGATAGCAATTACATTAGTTTCAGCTCTTCACTTATTAATTTTGAGGAGAAGAAGCCTTTAATTACTGATCATCAATGGAAGAATCCATTGATGATGAATTTTAGCTCCATCTCTGAAGAACAAGAACAAGATCAAGATCAAGCTCCTTGTTCTTCTATGATCCACATTTGTTAAGGAATGTTTCATTCCCTTATTCGACCAACGTACGATCTCATAATTTACCCTCTTTAAAGGCTCAACTTTCTCAGCACACTACCCAGTGTCTGACTCTTATACCATAACGAATCAAA